GCCAATACCAGGCTGCTTTCAGTACTGTAGTTTTGTAGTAGAGTTTGAAGTAAGGAATTGTGATGCCTCCAGAGGTTCTTTTACTGTACAGGATTATTTTGGCTATCCTGTTTTTTTTTTCTTCTTTTCCATATGAAGTTAAGTACTATTCTTTCGAGGTCTGTGAAGAATTTTACTGGGATTTGATGGGTATTGCATTAAATCTATAGATTGCTTTTTGTAAGATTGTCATTTTTACTATGTTAATTCTGCCTACCAAGAGCATGGGAGATATTTCCAATTTCTGGTGTCTTCTTCCGTTTCTTTCTTTAAAGATTTAAAGTTCTTGTCATACAAGACTTCCACTTGTTTGATTAGAATTACTTCAAGATATTTTATGCTATTTGTGGCTATTGTGAAGTGTGTTGTTTCCCTGATTTCATTTGAGCCCATTTATAATCTGTGTACAGGAACATTTCCTAAATATAACCCCAGCAGCACAGACACTGAGAGAAACAATTAATAAATGGGACCTCCTGAAACTGAAAAGCTTCAGTAAACCAAAGGACATGGTCAACAAGACAAAATGACAGCCTACAGAATGGGAAAAGATCGTCACTTACCCCACATCAGACAGAGGTCTGATCTCCAAAATATATAAAGAACTCAAGAATTGGTCATCAAAAGAAAAAATAATCCAATAAAAAAAATGGAGTACAGACCTAAACATAGAACTCTCAACAGAGGACTCTAAAGTGGCTGAAAGACACTTATGGAAATGTTCAACATCCTTAGTCATCAGAGAAATGCAAATCAAAAAACTCTGAGATTCCATCTTACACCTGTAAGAATGGCCAAGATCAAAAACATTGATGACAACTTATGCAGAAATGTACCCTTTTCCCCATTAATGCTAATAAGAAAGGAACAACAGCAGCAGAGAGGCATTGGATAATGGAAAAAAGTTCTGAATTGAATTAACCAGTATATTTCAAGGATGTGTTGACCTCACAATGGAAACCAGGAGATGTACTACGTTGGGGAACGGGTTTCCAAAAGAGATGAAAAATTATGGATACCATCAAAATTAATAAAGATTCGCTTTGAAAAGGAGAAACCTATTGAAACAGAGAAATGACAGGTCATCCACAATGGTGATAACCATACAGGTGGTAAGAAAAGCATATAGGATGTGGGCAGGGTCCCATTATTGTCTTTGCAGGAAAATATTCATCTTCAAAAATTCAAGAGACCCCTGATGTTTGAATGATGACAGGTAGAAAAATAACTATTCAATAAAGATCATCAAGAAAATCAAATATGGTTCATAAGTTCAAAGGATACAATGTATACATTTATATATATGAATATGTATGTATGTATGTATGTATATGTTTATGAATATATAGAACTGGTTTTAGAGTTGGACAATGGCTCTGTCCTTCTTTAAATCCAAGCGTGTTGTTGAAAGAAAAAACCCAGAGTATCTATCTCATGTCAAGAGCCATTTGATGTGGGACAGAAAGAAAAAAAATTTAGAAAATATCTTTGCTTTTCTTCATATCTATTTTTGTCTTTATCATACCTTTCATTGAATATATTTGTCTGTATATGTTAATATAAATCATGTTTAAGTTTTCCACAATGAACAATATATTTTTCTGCAGTAATCTTTGAAGTTTCCAGGAAGAAGATGGGGCCCCATAACAACTCCACCTGATATGACGCCATGATACTGAGAGTGATACTACAAGACCTGTTTTGGGTACCAGCTACACAAGATGGTTCCAACTTGGTTAGCTGAAATGGTGTACATCTTTTACAACGTTCTGGCCAGATCTCCACAAAATAATCAGAGACTATTTGCAACCTTACCAGACATTAATCTTGAAATTTAACCTTCATTTTACTTTCACAGGATCCCCTAGAAAGAATGTCGCCCCATGACAGCTGGAAGTAATTCTAGAAGATGACGTCCCCTTTCCCAGCAAAGTTTGTCCTCAGAGTTAGGGACATCATTTATGGTTTGATTATAATTGGTATATGGTTGAAGGTTGGGGGAGGAATTTTATAAGCTCAGGGATCTTTTTGGGAAAAAAAGAGGAAAAATTGGATGATGGGATAATAGATTGGCATTTGTGAGTTATTATTTACAGACAATTGCATTGGTATGGATTCTTGTATATTGATACAAAGTTATATTATATTGAATATTGTATGTATGCATGCATGCTGATACCTCTGTTTAAAACATTTTTATGTATTGATATATTTATTTGCCATATTGCAATGTACATTTCTACCTCTGATCAAGATACTTTTACATTATTTACATTTGGAGGTAATTGTCCTCATATATTGCACAGTTGTTTATTTTCATAGTCTTTAAGTTAGATAGGTATTAAGAATTATAGATCAATAGTCATCTATGTTTGTCATACTTATAGTTAGACTAATCAGGTTCTTTAGATACATAGAAATTAAATTCTGTATAGATAGATAACCTTCAACAATTTCAAGGATCTGTGGAACATGTCATTTAAATAACTTAGGGTTTTGTGGACATGAGACATGATTGCTCCTGGCAGCACTGATCTATTCCCGAGAGATACTTGAGCACCAAAGACAAACCACTTGGAGCCTGTTTTCTTCTTGGCAAAAACTGGCCTTTGGGCAAATAAATGTCCATGCCCCAAACACTGACAAGATGTAGTGTTCAGAAATGGATAAAAAAGACTGTCAAATCTTTCCAAGACAGGGTAAGATGGTTTTGAAAAATTTCTTGCCTTTGAAAATGGTCTGTCAGTTATTCTAGGCTTTAGCCAAAGGTGGTTGCAAATGAGACTTTGAGTGATTGCCCAGGTAGCCAGTTGTCTCTGTCATATATTGCTAACTTTGGAAGTTCTTTGATTACACTTCCTGCTTGCTCAAGTAATATCTCCCTTCTCAGGCCTCCGATAGGGTTGAAGATTAGATAATCACTGTTACTGTCCTCTTATGATCTAGCTAAGCCATTTCCAATACAAGACTTAGACTCCTTAGGATAGAATGTTTATTAAAACATTTAGCATATGTTCCTTGGTTAATATTAGTTGTGTTTATTGTAATTCTAATCTTATAATTGATATCTGTTCCTAGTATATAATGTTTTGTATCAGGTTTGGAACTCTCTTACTTAAACAAAAGGGGGAGGTGCTGTGGGAGCCAACGGCCTTTAAGATACCAGTTCACTTGGGCATGGTCTCTTTAGGTTTAAAAAAAGCAGCGGTAGCCCTGCTCTCTTGTTTTTTGCTTCTGGCTCCACTTCCTGATACTAGACTCCTTTCCTGGTAGTGAAGAGGGCTGTTGTCTAGGATAGTGATCTATAAGTTTTTCCCTTTAAATAAATAATACTTTTATTAATCATAATTCCAAACTATGTGGGATTTTTTTGTTATTAACAACTTCAGTAGAGTCAGTCCCAACTTTAGCAAGTAATAGAGAATGACTATGCTTTTTCTGGACTTGATGACATGCTGTTGTGTGCATTTGCATGTGAGAGAGCTCATTCTGAGGGTGTCTGCTGTAGAGAAGAAAGGCCATTGAAGGTCCAGACACCATGGCAAAGCATCTCACCTCTAGTGGGCATGAAGGACAGACCTGAAGCTAAAGCCCTTAGAGACTCAGCCCTCAGCTGAAGCACAGGTGGGTAAGAGCTGGGATCATAGAAGTGTGTCATCTTGTCATGTGAGAGGGTGATTGTCTGCCTATAACATGGTAACAGGGACCTTTTGCTGAAAAGTATGTTCCAGAAGTAATTGTGAGTGTTCTCAGGTCAGTGAGAATTCAGCCAATCATAGTGAGTTCAATCGCCATCACAAAAAACATAAAAAGTGTTCTTTAAGCGTGCCTTCAACTGGATCTTAGTAAAGATGGAGTTTTCAAAGCCAGGCAGTGCTGTCTCGAGGAGAAAGGGATAGAGTCCTTTTCTTCTGGGCATTACAGCCAGTCTCAATAATGAGTGGTGGGCCTCTTGAGGTTCAGTCCTGGACACTCTATAGGTGAGACTTGATGCCCAGTGTCAAGGGGACAGTGCTCATGTAACAGAGTGCACCTGGCAGGATGAATGGTGCTGTATTTAGCCCCGGGACAGTTTTTGCTGAAGTTTTTTTTTTCCCCCTCTGGCTTCTCCTGACTCTTGTATCTAGTGAAGGAGGTCCCTCTTCAGTTTTCCTGTTTGGCTCTTTTGCCCTGAGGCTGCGCCCTGTTTTTTGTGGAGGAGTATCTAAGTACAGAGGTTTATTGGGTTGGAGACCTTACAGGCCAGATCCATAAACTAGGGATCCAAACCCATCTCTGGCTATAAGGAGCCAAATTATAGCCAAGATATTTTGGAGTTTAGTGTCTTGTTGCCTCTTTTCAGTATTTTTTTTTCCTCAGAAAAGGGCGGGGGGAGCGACTGAGAACCAAGGGTACATTTTGCATTGCTGGTGCTATACTGCCATCAAGCGGAACTACTTTGCTGTTTCCAACATCAACCCAATAGGCTTTTTGTCTGTATGTCTGAAAAATAGTAGGTGAGAAATGTAGGGGCATCTGGTCCAAATACTGAATTAACGGGGGCTCTAACTAGCTTGCTAGTTCTGGGGTAAGCCAGGGTTTAGTGCCTAAGGTGGGACTCAACCAGTGCTAGCCTCCAAGGCAGCATGGATTTCAAAGTAGTAAAGCCGTGAATATGGATGGGTTTTGCGATCTTGTGGCAGTCATGTTTGCCACAGTGATGAGGCTGTGGGATGCAGATGGGTGAGTAATTTGCTTGTTATGATACAGAATCTAGCCGGGCAGTGGTGGCGCTTGCCTTTAATCCCAACAAAGGCGGGTGGATCTCTTTGAGGTCGAGGCCAGCCTGGTCTACAAGAGTTAGTTCCCGGACAGGCTTCAAAGGTACTGAGAGACCCTGTCTCAAAAACAAAACAAAACAAAAAAAATTACAAAAACAAAATTATTCATGAACTTTAATCTTTTTAGACACCTACCTGCACAAATACTTCATTTTCTAGAATCAGCTACTGCCCAGGGGTCTGGTCTCTGCTTTAGCGTCCCCAGAAAATCAACCTAGAGGTCATAAATTTGTCAGTCCTTCTTTGCTTTTTCATCCTTCTTTCCATCCTACTTTCCTGTTCTCCCTCTTTCTCTCCGTCTTTTGTCACGTCCTCCCCGCTTTCATGTTTAGATCTTCAGTCTGTTGTCTATGTTTCATTTTCTTCTTCTGGCTTTCTGCATTCCTATCTTTTGGATTTCTTCTTATTCCCTTTGTACATTTGCTGTCCTTCAAGAGTTCTGCAAGACCTGTCTTAAACCTGTGAGCCAAAAATTCAGCAACAAAATCAAGTTCCTTGGAACAATGCAAGGGTATGGGAAATAAATGCAAAAGTGATATACAGAGAGGGCATTATGTATGATGTACCTTCAAAACAGGTGGGGAATTAGCCCAGGGGAGACAACCATCCTAATTTGTCTGATGATTTGCAATGGAATCATACCTGGAAGTAGACTCCATGGACACAGAGGAGAAAGGGCACACAGGAAGTTGTCATTGTGAGTTGCACTTTCCTACGCCATGACCAGGAATCAAAGTGGAGAGGACAGTTGCCAGTCAAATCCTTTGCTTTTCCTCTCCAGAGACCCCAGCTAACATTGCGTTTTGGCTGGTAGCATGCTCAACCTCAGCTGAAAGAAGAGGCTCCCCGGAACCATGATCTGAAGATAAGAAAATATCAAAATAAAACCTTCATTTCATCTCAGCTTCAACTTGCCTACCAGCTCCTTTGAAGCAGCCCCAATTCATTTCTTTGGGCTTGCCTACAACAATTACCTTCTCACTGTGTAAACAATAGTTCCCTGTACCTGAGGCATCGATACCTGTGGTGGTATTTTGTTTGTGCGCTAATAAATAAAGCTTGTCTAAAATCAGAGGGCGGAGCTAGCCACTTGTTAGTCATAGAGGTCTGGAGGTCTGTACAGACAGACAGGAAGTGGTATTGCTGGGCAGAGAGAAGAATATAAGGTGGATAGAGACAAGGGCTCAGCCCCCCTTTCTGCCAAATGAGTTATCAAGGTAAGAACTGGCTTTGGCTTGCGTCTTTGTTTTTCTGATCTTTCAGCATATACCCCTACATTTGACTTTGGGTTTTTATTATTAAGACCAATTAGAAATTATACAACAGATGCCCACTTAAGGTATTTGTTATTATTTCGTTTCTCCAAAGGACACAAAGTCACTCTAGGATTTGAAACTTTATTATGTGCATTCCAGTCATCTACCCATTTCTGAAGCACTGCACAAAAATAAAGGAAGGATTTCTGATGAAAGTCCCCAGTCCTTTGTGTTCCTGCTAGGATGCCAGCACCACAAAAAAACCCACCAACACCCCTTTATACTACAACTGGGGCAAATTCAAAAGAAACTCATCTTTACACCCAGAGCACACACAGTACAGAGAGGCACACAGTGCAGAGGGGCATCCAGGGACAAAGTGAGTATAGGAATCAAGTAAAAGAAGGTGTTTTATTACCTGCCCTTATGTAGGCATGCACGTGTGTGTGTGTGTGTGTGTGTGTGTGTGTGTGTGTGTGTGTAGATGGAGCTCACTGAATTCCTAGGGAATTATTTTCTCTTCTATCAGGTTCAGTGTGGCCAAACTCTTTTATGAAGTTATGGTTACCCTGATACCAAAACCACACAAAGAATAAACCCAGAAAGAGAATTACAGAGCAATCTCACGCATGAACATTGACGCAAAAATTTTCAATAATATACTGGCAAACCAAATCCAAGAACACATCCAAAAAATTATACATTATGATCAAGTAGGCTTCATCCCAGAGATGTAGGACAGGTTCAACATATGCAAATCTATCAAAGTAATCTATCATATAAATAAACTGAAAGAAAAAAAACCATATGATCATTTCATTGGATGCTGAAAAAACATTTGAAAAAATTCAACACCCCTTTATGATAAAGGTGTTGGAGAGATTGGGGATACGACAATCATACCTAAATATAATAAAAACAATATATAGCAAGCCGACAGCTAACATCAATTTGAATGGAGAGAAACTCAAAGCCATTCCACTAAAATCAGGAACACGACAAGGCTGTCCACTCTCTCCATACCTCTTCAATATAGTGCTTGAAGTTCTAGCAATAGCAATAAGACAACATAAGAGGATCAAGGGAATTCGAATCGGAAAGGATGAAGTGAAACTTTCGTTATTTGCAGATGATATGATAGTGTACATAAGCGATCCCAAAAACTCTACCAAAGAACTCCTACAGCTGAAAAACACCTTTAGTAACGTGGCAGGATACACGATCTACCCCAAAAAGTCAGTTGCCCTTCTATACAAAGAACAAAGAAGCAGAGAGGAAAATCAGAGAAACATCACCTTTCACAATAGTCACAAATAGCATAAAGTATCTTGGGGTAACTCTAACCAAGGAAGTGAAAGACCTATTTGACAAGAACTTTAAGTCTTTGAAGAAAGAAATTGAAGAGGATATCAGAAAATGGAAGGATCTCCCATACTCTTGGGTTGGTAGGATCATCATAGTAAAAATGGCAATTGTACAAAAAACAATCTATAGATTCAATGCAATCCCCATCAAAATCACAACAAAATTCTTCACCGACCTTGAGAGAACAATAATCAACTTTATATGGAAAAACAATAAACCCAGGATAGTCAAAACAATCCTATACAATAAAAGTACTTCTGGAGGTATTACCATTTCTGACTTCAAACTCTATTGCAGAGCTACAGTAATGAAAACAGCTTGGTTTTGGCATAAAAATAGAGATGTTGACCAATGGAATCGAATTGAAGACCCAGATATTAATCCACAAACCTATGAACACCTGATTTTCCACAAAGGAGGTAAAATTATACAATGGAAGATGGAAAGCATCTTTAATAAATGGTGCTGGCATAACTGGATGTCAACCTGTAGAAGAATGAATATAGATCCATATCTATCACCATGCACAAAACTCAAGTCCAAGTAGATTAAAGACCTCAGTATAAATCGGACCACACTGAACCTGATGGATTTTTTTAAGTAATAAAAAAATAAAAAAAAAGGTGTGAGTCACAAGCACCTGATCTCTTCTTGGATTGATTTTGTACAAGCCCAGTTTGGCCTTGAACTCACAGAGATCTGTCTGCCTCTGTTTCCTGAGTTCTGGTATTAGAGGCATGAGCTGCCACTGCCTGGCCTTTATGACTAACTAGTGGCTTAGCTTTGAGCTCTGATCATCAGGAAAGATTTATTTATTGAAATACAAATAAAATATCACTACATTTCTTCCTTTTGTCTAAATAAAAAAGAGAATGCTATAACTAATATAAGAAAAGCTAAATATAATAAGTATAATAACTATATACAATATATGCAGGTCATAAGCAAATCAGTAATGTCTAGTCCATTTGCATTTCAGAGAAATTACTCCATTATCTATCCTATCTTGGTGAGTCCAAATCTTGTACCCAATATACTTTATATCATAACTTGCATTACCATCCAAAACTATCTTTTGATATCTCTCAACCTTATATACTTTAGAACTTTTCAGTGAGTTTCTTTTCTCTGTCTGTTAAACAAGAAAAATATAGCCAAAACTATCTAGTCTTCAAATCTCTCAGAGATCCAAGAAGTAAATAATATTAACTGAATAAGCAGGAAGTATGAGCAATCAACTTCCAAAAAATATAAGAAATGACAAAAACAGCTTGTGCAATTTGAACAACATACTAACTATCAGCAGTTGAGGAAAGGGCATTTTCTAACCCAGTGGCTTACTTTTGCCCCAATGAAAGTAAACTTCATGTGGAATTTCTTCAATGTCTATTATCTTCTCTGAAGTAGATTGGGACTGCCAGGAGCAGACATGTCTCATTGTCATAAAAAAAGCCTCTGTTTTTAAAATATCTTAAATGCCATATTCTGTAGATCTCTAAACTGTTTGAAAATGACTTGACTATTTAAAATATATGTTTTGATTTTGAAAACATACCTAAAATGTCTACAAGTTCTGTTGTAATAGGTGACTAATTATTAACCTGCATTTCTTTATTATCCTAAACAGGAAATAAATATAACTTTCAATTACAAGAAATTTGTATTATATTTTTAAATAAGCTGTATACATACAATACCTTGAACAAGCTTAGAAACATGTACAGCATGTTTTACCAAAATTAATATCAAATTTGTATCCATGTATAAAATTTGTATACAATATACAAAAGTCCAATCCAATGTAAAACATTTAAAACTAGTAGTTGCTTTTTAAAAGCAGTTTCAATAATCTACCTTTTTATCTTATCAAAACTATATTTTTCCTTTTTCTTTACAGAGTAGATTTAATAATCTACCCTTTTATTCTATCGTATCTGTATTCTCCTTTTTCTTCTTTTCTAAACAAGAACTCTGTATCTTATCTCCTGTTTTCAACTTTTTTCCTGACTATAACCAATAACAAGTTGTAACTGAGCCCCCTAAACAATAAGAAATATTCATAACCCATTGAATGACCAAAAACAACCCACCCTACTACTTGGGAGTGGGCGTTGCCTTCTTAAATTTACTTCCTGCTATCTTAGGGTAACAGCATCGTGAGGCAGGTCTGAAAAGACAAATTTGGGTTAATTGTCTAGTTCTGAGAAAGGTAGCTGTGTCATTTGTTGTCCCGATTCTGTATAATGGGGAAAGACAGGGCTTGTAGTTTAGTGGTGTTGACATCCTGGCAGAGGTAGTAGAACTAGGCTCTCTGGAATGTTTCTAGATGCCTCTCGGTCTATGTAAATCCCATTAGAGAGTTTTCCTTTGTCTGCCTGGAGAGATGCAGAAATGGGTAGCTGTCTGGATGCACCTGATAAAGAAAAGTACACATACAAGAATAATTCCCCACCTATTGCAGACAGGAAACAGAGGGAAAATAATGGTTGAAAATGAATTTCTGGGTTAATAACAGTGATTGATTACAAATAGTCAGATCATAATGACAGCTAGACAAGTCCAAAGAAATGATTTAGAGTCCCAGCCCAAGGTCTAGTAGGCAGGGAACACTTGGGATGGAGGAAAGGTTCTTCTTTTGATTTTCTTGTTCAGAAATCAGGATGTGTTGGAGCTCTATCTTTAAGCAAAGGAAGAGGTTGCTTCAACCCAAACTCATACATAATATGGCAGATGGCCCAGAGCAATCATTTGAATGCACAGCCAGGGTGATGAAGTCCACAGGTTGATGTCTCTACACAAGACGACCAAAGTGTTTGGGTAGCAGCTGCCCTGCTATGCTGCTCCTGGCTGTTGTCTAAGGAGCTAAGGACTTCACAATGAAAACTTCCTGTGAATTTAGAGTCTCATTTCTCTAGATATGAATCCATCCAGGCCCTGTGTGGGTAGGTGTTGTCTGTCTTGTGCCAAAGGCTCACATTCTTCTCTATCCCATGCACTTTTATGTCAGGAGCATCCTGTGTGGATGTTAGGAGGAGGAGGTCAGCTAACTATGAACATGAAGCTAGGGAACTCATGGTTTTCCAGAATGTGCACAACCATGGGAGGCCTGGACACACATTGCTTACCCTTAACCCCCAGAGTCAGTATGGTAGCTGAGACTCCTTTGCACAAGTGCCAGTTAGAGTTTCTTCCTGGGCTCTGAGGGATACGGGCCTTGTTCTGCCCTGAGTTCATTGTC